AAGAAGGGCACCCGTGAGCACACCGGAGCTACAGGAAGGGACAGAGAGGGGGGACAGGTGACCCCGGAAGCAGGACACGTCCCCGTGCCGCGCGGCCCCGTCCCTGTCCCCGCACTCACTTCCGGTTCTGCTGCTGCCGCTGGTGCAGGAGCCGGCGGTGCTGGGGGTGCAGGTGGGTCGTGTCCGGCCGGAACATCTGGGGCTGCGGCCTGGGGAGAGCGGGAACGGTCAGGGGGGGATGCAGGGAGCGCGTGGGACGCTGGGACAGGGACAGCACCGACCTCAGGTTCTGCAGGTGGGATCCGGGGCCCGGAGGGTGCGGCAGCTGCGAGGGGGGCGGGGCGGGGGGAGCCCCGAAAAAGGCACGGAACCCTCCGGCCGGGGACATCATCTGCCCAACTCTGCCCTGGAGCAGCTTGGGATTCACCGAGGGCAGCGGGCTCCCCACCAGCCCGGACACCCGGGCAAACTGGCTGGGGGACATTCGGCCGGCCTGGAGGGACAGAGAGGACACCTGGAGTCAGCCAGGCGGGAAAAGGATCTGGGATAGCCAGTAAGAGCCACGGAGTGCCAGGTCCCGGAGCCACGCAGAGAGAAAGGTGGGATGAAGCACAGGAAGGAGCTTTACCTGGGCTCCTCCGAGCAGCTGGGCTCTCTGCAGGTGTGTGAGAACGGGAGAGACGCTGTGGGGGAACGGGTGGCCCAGGAGGGAGGAATTCTGGGGAAAGAGTTGGGAAAAGGGATCCCAGTCACAGACCACAACTGGCAGATGGGACAAACCCCAGGAAGGCCAAGCTCCATGGGGTGGGGACGAGCCACAGGAATACAGGGAAGTTTTGGGGAGGCTGGTCATCAATCCCCAAAAAGATGGAGGAGGGAAAGCTGGATACCGGAACATTGCAGAGCTGGTTGGGGGACATCCTCTCTCCATAGGGAGCGGGATAACGCTGCTGCATGGTAGCTCGGATGTGGACAGGCTTGGGACACAGGATCTGTGAGGAGGCAAGTGGCACAGTCACTCCCCCTGGGAAGCAGCTTGCACCCTTGGGAGCGGTGGGAAGCGAGGAGATACCTGCTGGTTGAAGTTTGGGATGGCGGCCTGTTTGGGGGGGGTGCCGATGGGAATGGCCCGCACCGGGGGGCTCCCGATGATGGGGGAGGAGGAGCGCCGGGGCAGCGCCCGCTCCGATGGATCCCGCTCCTCATCCCGAGCCTGCGGAGGCCTCTGGGGCAGGGCATAATCCAGCACGGACACTGATGGCATCTCCTGCAGCAGAACGGGAGGGACACCCCCCTGGAGCCACAGGCCGGGACACGGAGGAGGGTCAGTGTCCCCTCTTCCTCCTGCCAGCTCTCCACCTCCCCCTGCGCTTCCCTGGGATCTCCAGGCGAGGCTGGGCATTCCCAGAGCACATGTGACTGCCAAGAGCGTCCCGTTTGGGATAACAGGGCGTGAGGCAGGAGTTCTGGGTCACCTCCCAGCCCGGCAGAGCCAGGAGAGGGTTGGACACGCAGCACTTCAAAGCCTGACTCTTAATGAAACCACAACAACACAAAAATCCTCTGCCTCCAGGCATCAACATTCCCAAATCCAGCTGGGAGCCCTGAAATCCCTCAGACATCACCAGGCATCCCAAAACAGCAAAACTCCATCATCCCAGCCCTCCAGGGTCTGAGGGGGGACAGAAGGTGACAGCTGTGAGGGTCCCCCACAAGCCACAGCCGCAGTGGAGGGAAGCAGGACACTCCACTATCCCAGGAACAGTCTACCCCACCCAGCTGGCTGCCACAGGCATTTGGGATCAGCAGGGAAGGGCCCCCTGCCCCCAGCACCCTACCTGAGCGAGGAGCGGCCCCCGGATGCGCCGCAGCACGGCCGAACTGTCCCAGATGCTGGAATTCAGCCCTCCAGGCTGCTGCAGAGCACAGGGGGAGTCAGGACGGCGCTGCGGGATCCATCCCCGCGCCCCCCGGATCCCCCAGCCCGCTCCCACCTGCGGGGGATCCCTGGTGTGCACGGCCTGCATGATGGCCGGGTCCTCCAGCTCGCTGTCGATGACGAGGCGCGTGAGCCGCTCGGCCAGCGCGTCCTCGGGATCGCCCAGAACGTCCCCGTCGTTCCCAACGGGACCGTCCGGCTCCCGGCTCGAGCCGGCCTTGTCCTCCAGCTCCGCCAGCCGCTCGTGGGCCTCCTGCCAGTCATCATCTGCGAGGGGGCACAGGGTGAGGGACGTGGGCCGGGGCCATCTGCGGGTCAGGGAGGTCTGGGGGTGACACTCAGGGTCTCACCGACGGCCCCGGCCCCGAAGGTGTCATCGTTGAACTGGTCGATGTCTTCATCCTCCTCCCCCAGGGCCTGGAAGGCATCTTCATCCTCGTCCAGCGGGCAGTCCTCCAGGGACTGGGACAGCCGGGAATGGGGTCAGCCCCACTGGACCTCCCTGACGACCCCTCAGCCCATTATACCCATAGAACACACCCCCCACCCAGCGATACCCCCCCAGCCCCATTATCCACCCCAGGAAATCCCCCCAACCCATTATTCCTATGCAGTGATTCCCCCAAGCCATCACATCCGCCCAGTGACCGCTCCAGACCTACAGAGTGACCCCTCCCGCTATGCGCTCCCCCAGCCCGTCACAGGTCCCCAGTGCCCCCCTGACTCCCTCTGCCACCCCGGAGCCCCCTCCCAGCCCCTCAGCCCCCTCAGCGCCCGCCCTCCCCAACTTGTGACCCCTATGCACAGCCTCGATCCCCGAGCCGTGTCACCCGAACCCAGCCGTGCCCCACAACCACAACCGTGTCCCCAGCCGTGCTCCCTGTCCCCAGCCGTGCTCCCTGTCCCCAGCCGCGTTCCCCGTCCCCAGCCGCGCTCCCGCTGCAGCCACACGTGGCAGGGGGTGACACGTCCTCACCGTGTGACCCCCGAGGGGGATCAGCCTGCTCATGGCCTGCGAACCCACATCCTCCCCCACCTCTGTCACCTCCCGGGGTGCCGGGGGCCACCCCCAGCTGCCGCCTCCGGCGGGTCCCCGCGTGTCCCAGGTGAAGGGGCGGCTCCACCTCGTCCCTCCCCTCGGCGCCTTCCTTGTGCCCGTCACTGGGGATTAGCGCAGGGACAGCCCCGGGCTTGGGGACAGGCACAGGGGACAGGGCCACCCGCCACCTCGCCTGGATGTAGGAGGCCTGGCGGAGCGGCGAGGACCGAGGGTGACATCGCCCATCCCTGCGCGGGGCGAGGACGGGGAGCCCCCCGCGCCCCCCCAGCCTCCGGGGGCACCATGAAGGACCGGCTGGAGCAGCTCAAGGCGGTGAGGGACCCCCGGCGTGGCGAGGGGACAGGGGACACCCCCAGGGAGCCCCTCAGGGAAAGGTGACGCCGGGATGGGGGTCCCCGAGACCCCACCCCATGGTGGGCGGGGGCATCGCGGGGAGAGGGGACCCCAAAAACCGAGTCTGCGGTGGATGGGGACATCACGGGGTGGATGTCACTGAAATGCCACCCCGCGGGGCGTGGGGGTGTCACGGGGATGGGGGGACCTCAGAGCCCATCCCATGGAGGGCTGGGGTCTCGGGGACACCCCAGTCTGTGGTGACACCACGGGATGGATGGCACCGAGACCCCCCCCGGTGTGCGTGGGGTGTCACGGGGGTCACCCCACGGCGGGTGGGGGACCCTGAGCCTCCCTACAGCGGGGGGGTCAGCTGGGGGGGACTGGGGGTGTCACCCCGTGCGCTGTGGGGGCACGGTGGGAGTTTTGGGGTGACGTGACCCCCCCAGCCGAGTGCCGTCCCCCCACGCCGTGGGGTGCAATGGGGGGACAGCCCCTCCCGGCCTCTGGGGGTGTCCGTCCTGTGGGGATGGCGGTGGATTTGGGGTGCCCACAGTTCCCCACTCTGCCCCCCACAGTTCCCTGTGTTCCCGCCATCAGCGCCGCTTCCTTCTCCCTTTTCCCGCTCCGCCTGGGGCCCCATTTCCCCCCACTCCTGGGGGGTCCCCCTGCTCCCCACGGACCGTGGGGGTCCCAGCAGGCCCCCAGCTCCCAGCCGGGCCCCTAGGCATGGCAGGGAGGCTTGGCAGGGATTTACCGGGATTATGGAGCCATCAGATAAAGCCCTCGGGGGGGAGCGAAGGGATTAATTTTATTTTTACTCCAGCAGCAGGAGGAGGGGGTGGGGGGTCCCAGCCTGGGGTCTGTCCCCCTCTCCAGGACACCCCAACAAGACCCCCGGGGTGCTGGTGGAGCTGAGGGGGTGAGGGGAGGCAGAAGGGCTGAGGCTGAGTTTTGGGAAGGGCTGGATTTGGGAGCACATGGGTGGGGGCACGACACCAGGGTGAGGGGCACCAGCCACCTTCGTGCCCCCCAGGGCTGCCCCAGAGCTGCCGTGGGGCCACGGTTTGGGACAGAAACCCTGTCCTGTGCCCATCCCATCGCTGTCCCCGTTCCCTCTGGCCAAGCCCAGCAATCCCTTAATTCCTAGCCACGTGTGGCCAGATGTGAGCTGGGCTCGGCCCCCCCTGCCCTCCCCCGCTGCAGATGTCCCCCCCTGTGCCACCACAGCCCCATGGCTACTCCCCCCCTGTCCCTGTCACCCCCGGGGGGGCCCTGGGGGGCGCTGGCAGGGCACGGGGCCCCCCCTGAGCGCCGTGTCCCAGCAGAAGCAGGATGCGGACGATGAGGAGGAGCTGGAGATCGCCGTGGACAACACGGCCTTCATGGATGAGTTCTTCTCGGAGGTGAGGGAGGGCTGGGAGTGGGGCTGGGGGGTGTAGGGCTGTCTCCTAACCCCCCAAAATCCTCCCGGGCGTGCCCAGATTGAGGAGACCCGGCAGAACATCGACAAGATCTCAGAGAACGTGGAGGAAGCCAAGAAGCTCTACAGCATCATCCTCTCAGCCCCCATCCCAGAGCAGAGTGAGTGCTGTCACAGTGTCCCCACGGCCTCCCCTGGTCACGGGGGCTCTCCCTGGGGACATTCCCATGGTGGCTCACACCCGTGATCCCACAGAGACCAAAGATGACCTGGAGCAGCTGACAGCAGAGATCAAGAAAATGGCCAACAGCGTCCGTAACAAGCTGAAGAGTGAGTGGCTCTGTCCCCACCGCCGTGTCACAGCTGTCCCTGTCCCCCTGGGACTCTGGGATCATGGGGGCTGGCAGTGGGAAAGGTTCCTGGTGGGTTGAGGTCTGTTTCTCTCCAGGTATGGAGAGGAACATCGAGCAGGACGAGGCACGATCCTCCGCCGACCTCCGGATACGCAAGTCCCAGGTGAGCTCCGGCCCACAGCCAGCGTCCCCAGGTCCCACCCTGTCCCTGTGGCATGTCCAGGCGTCCCCAGGTCTCCCAATCCTATCCCCAAGAGCACTCTGTGATCCCAGGCTTTGTGTCCCTCTGCTCTGTCCCCAGCACTCTGTCCCATCGCCCTGTGCTGGGACATGCTACATCCGGGGTCCCCTGGGTCTCGTGCCACTGTCCCCACTCCCAGCGCATTGTCCTGTCCGTCCTGGGACCAGGAACACGCCATGCCCAGAGTGTCACTGATCTGACTTCCCCTCCCCACCCCCAGCACCTCATCCTGTCCCCTGGGCAGTGTCACGCCTCTGTCCTCGCTCCTGTCCCCCGTGAAAGTGGCCCATGGGGATATGCCGTGCCTGGGGTGTTCCATGTCCCCATCTCCAGGGACAGGTCCAGTCCCCCAGGGCCACACCATGCCCTGGGTGTCCCCATGCCAAAGTCCCTGTCCCCATCCTCACGTCCCTGTCCCTGTCCCCAGCACTCGGTCCTGTCCCGCAAGTTCGTGGATGTCATGACCAAGTACAACGAGGCGCAGGTGGATTTCCGGGAGCGGAGCAAGGGCCGGATCCAGCGCCAGCTGGAAATCAGTGCGTGACCCCAGCCCCCGCATCAAGCCCACCTCCTCCATAAAATGGGAGGGGCCAATTCACACGGGCCCCACCCATTTGACCAAGTTTAGTCAAGTGGGTGGAGCCAGATCATGCAGGCCCCACCCCTTATCCCGGACTGGGAGGGGCCTGTTCCCACCTCTCCCCACGTGCCCGCAGCCGGCAAGAACACGACGGACGAGGAGCTGGAGGAGATGCTGGAGAGTGGGAACCCCTCCATCTTCACCTCGGGGGTGAGCCCTGACGTGGGGGACACCGGGGGACACAGGGGTGTGTCCCAGGGCCAGGGCTCCCCGCTGACGTGTCCCTGTCCCTGCAGATCATGGACTCGCAGATCTCGAAGCAGGCGCTGAGCGAGATCGAGGGGCGGCACAAGGACATCGTGCGCCTGGAGAGCAGCATCAAGGAGCTCCACGACATGTTCGTGGACATCGCCATGCTGGTGGAGAATCAGGTACGGGGACACGCAGGGACCTGGCCACAGGGACATGCAGGGACCTGGCTGTGGGGACACGGGGACAAGCGGAGACCTGGACACGGGATCACAGGGACAGGCAGGGACCTGGGTATGGGGACAAGCAGGAACAGGACGTGGGGTCACAGGGATGACCTGTGTATGGGGACATGGACATGAGCCATGAGGGATTTGGGCACATGGTCACAGAGATGAGCAGGGACCCACGTATGGGGACACACAGGGACCCATGCGCAGGGTGACCAGGGACAAGCAGGGACCCAAGTGTGGGATCACAGGGACCTGCACGGGACCATGGAGTGGCCCAGGGACCTGCACAGGGGGATCCAGGCATGGAGCGATATGGGCTGGGGTGGTGACCACTGCACATGTTCCCATGGAGCCACCCACCACCCCGTGGTGGCCTGGAGGGACACAAGAGTGTCCCCCACCCTGTGGTGGTGCTGTCCCCTCTCTCAGCCCCTCTCTGTTCCCCATGCCACGTGAGGAGCCACTGCCTGCCCCAGGGATGGGTGAGTACCTGTGTGTGCGGGTGTGCCACGTGCTGTGGGGCTGTGTCACTGTGTCCCCACCGACCTTGTCCCTTCTCCCCCAGGGTGGGTTGCTGGATAACGCGTAGCCGAGCAGGTGGAGCAGAGCATGGAGATGATCTGGTGCTGGGGCCAGGTGCGCCAGGTGGGTGGGTGCCAGCACCCCGGGGTGCTCTCAGTGTTCCCCCCTTCTCTGTGTCCCCCGGGTGCTCCGTAGGGAGCCATGATCGACCGCATAGAGAACAACATGGACCAGTCCGTGGGATTCGTGGAACGGGCCGTGGCCGACACCAAAAAGGCTGTGAAGTACCAAAGTGAGGCCAGGAGGGTGAGACAGACCGACAGCCCCTTGTCCCCTGCATAGCCCCCAGTGTGCCCTCTGCACCCCCCAGTGTCCCCTCTGTAGCCCCCAGCACCCAGAGGTACCCCCAGTGCTATCCCCTCTGGCCCTCATAGTGCCTTCACATCCCAGTGTTCCCAGCACCTCCCCATATCCTCCAGCAGCCCTGAAATCCCTTTATTGCCCTCAGCCACCTCTTGTCCCCCTCAGCCACCCCTCATATCCCTCAGCTGACCCCAATAACTCCCACCTCCCCCCAGTGACCCTATGGGAGGTTGGCAGCTCTGTCCCTCTCTGTCCCACTGCCACCCCTGAGCCCCCTCCCACCCCAGGTGTGATGAGCTGGTGAGGACTCAGCCCCTCCTGCCCCATCCCCAGGGCTCTGCAGCACCTCGGTGCCCCTGTGTCCCACTCCCACCACGGGACAGGTGTCACCATCCCCGACTGGCCCCTGTTCCCCCAGAAGCTGCTGATTTTGGTGGCAGTGGCCGTGCTCTTGCTGGGGACAGTTGCCCTCATCATTGGACTCTCGGTGGGGCTGAACATGAAATAGCCCCTGGGGAGGGGGTCTGTAAGTGTTGGGGGGCAGGGGACCCCTGCTGCGGGGACACAGAGCCCAGGGGGATCCCAGTGCCATCTCCTGCTTTGGGGGCTGCAGTGCTTTGGGATTTGGGGCTGTTATGGGGCTGGGGATGCTGCGTTCTGGGTTTGGTGATTGCAGGTCTGCACTGCTGGGGGTCTGCAATGTTTGGGGTCTCTGGTGCTCTGGGGTCTGTGTTTTTGGGGGTCTGCATTGCTCAGGTGTCTGTGATGTTCAGGAGTCTCTGGTGCTCAGGGGTCTGTGCTGTTTGGGGTCTGCATTTCTGGGGGTTTGCAGTGCTTTGGGGGTCCGTGTTGCTCCGGGCTCTGGATTTTGTCTCTTGCCCACATCCATCTCTGCCATCCCTGCTCCCCCCTTCCTGCTGCAGTCCCCGTTCCCTTTCCTCCAGCTCCCCTTTCCCTCCTCCAGACGCTCCCGAGCATCCCAGCGATGTCACCTCCCGGCGGGATCCTCCCCGGCTTTGATCCTGGACCCCTCCTCTCCCTGCTCCTCCCGGACCTGCTGCTCTTCCCGCCGCGGGCTCCAGCACCGCCGCCTTTCCCGCCCGTCCTGCTTTCCCTGGGATCTGCCCCTCATGTCCCCATGGAAGGGGACAGGATTCCGTCCGTGGGGGCGCGGCCACTGGTGCCTCAGCCCCAGCGAGGAGTGACAAGGACACAAATCCGAGGGCCGGACGCTCACCCGCGCGGGCATCCCGGTGGAATGAGGGCGGGAATAGGGACAGGACGCGGGGTTTGGCGGCACCAGCGTGGTTTCTTGTCACCGTGCTGTGACAGACGGAGCCGTCAGGGTCCCCATCCCCTCGTGGCTTTGATGTCCGGGCGGGAGGATGTGTTGATCATGGATATTTAACTCCCGCTGTAATAAAATCCCGCTGATCCCGCCCTGCGCCTCCTCTCCGTGCTGGCACCGGGAACACCCAAAGCCGCCGGCACGGCTCCGGCTCGGCTCCCGGTGCCCGGGGATCTGGGGGCTGGACCGGCCCCGTTTCCCGGTGCTGCAGGACACGAGGAGGAAGCACAGGGCTGGGAACACTCCCAGCTCCCGGGCCCTGTCCAGACTGTCCCCCCCCCACCAAGTTTTTGGGTAAGTCACGGTGTTTGGTCACCTGTCCCAGGGCACGCTGGCACTGTCACCTCCCTGTGCCACACAGAACCAGCTCACACCTGCCCTGCCCCCTTCCCCTGTCCGTGTCCCTTGCCCTATCTCTGTCCTTTTTCCCCACTGCCCTGCCCCTATCCTTGCTGTCCCACTCCCCACTCCTTGCCCCCTCCCCAGCCCAATCCTCATCCCCTGTCCTCCTCCCCAGCCCATTCCCTGTCCCTGTCCCCTCCCCGGCTGTGTCCCTGCCTCACATTCCCTGTCTCCCTGAGCAGAAGAAGATCATGATCATGTTGTGCTGCATCATCCTCGCCATCATCCTGGCATCCAGCATCGCGAGCATCTTCGCCTGAACCCCCCACCCGCTGCCCTCCAGGTGACAGGGACAGGGCTGGGGGTGGCACAGGGGGTCCCTGGTACCCCCCAATCCCAGGGAGTGGGTTCGGGCCTTGCCGGGGTTGGATTCGCCCTGAGTGTCCCTGGGCTGCCACACTGGGGAGGGATGTGGATGGTGACAGCACCGGGAGCCACGTCCCCTTCCTGAGTGTCACCTCATCCTCCTCCCTGTCACAGGTGGCCTTTCCCCCTCCTGGCCCCCTGCCCGGATGATCCACGGGAGACACCTCGGCCAAGCCCTGATCCCCGGAGCCCCGAGGACATCCCACGTGTCCCTGGAGGAGCGGAGCCCACCCACTGCGCTCCCTGCTGCCCTCCCAGCGCCGAGGTCCCTGCTCCTCCTCCTCCACTCGGGTGACAGTCGGTGGCCGCTGTGACAAGCAGCCCCTCCTGGGTGGCACGGAGCGGCCGGAGGGGCCGTGTCCCTCTGGGGGGGACACAGGGCTCTGCCTTGCCGGGGCGGCCAGAGGAGCCTCTCCCAGTGCTTGGAGCTCCTTGGATGTGCAGCCACCCATGCTGGAGCCTTCCTCCTCAATAAAGAGCTCACCCACACTCTGCCTCCTGGCTCCAACCTGATCCATGGATCCCTCAGGATGCTCCCAGCCCTAAAATCCACTTCAGGACAGAGCCTCATGCTTCAAACCCTGATCTATTTGTCCCCCAGCTCCAAACCCCACCCTGGGATGAAGATCCTCATCCCCCAAACCCTGATCCATCTTCAGGATGCTCCCAGCCCTAAAATCCACTTCATGATAGAGATCCTCGTGCTTCAAACCCTGATCCATTTGTCCCCCAGCTCCACGTTTCCAGCTCCACACCCCACCTTGGGATGAAGATCCTCATCCCCCAAACCCTGATCCATTTGTCCCCCAGCCCTGCATTCCCAGCTCCAAAACCCACTCCAGGCTCTCGTGGAAAAGTTTAATCCCGAAAGCAATCCCGTCCAGCCGCTCCTCACACTCTGTGCTTCAGGAAAAACTTGCCCCAGTAGCGTCCCTTGAGCCGCAGGTCGTAGGGGCTCAGGTACTTCCTCATGCCCAACATGTTGGAGGTCACCACGCGCTCGAAAGTCCAGGGGTTTTGGTTGTCCAGCCTCCTGCGCTCCTCCTCCCGCCGCATCTCCTGCAGGCTGTCCCGGCTGACGGCCACGGCGGGGAAGGGCAGCTTCTGGGCCACGCGGCTCAGGAAGGGCTGCACCTCCTCGAACTCGCAGCGCCCGCCCACCTCCACCACCAGCCGGCCGCTCCTCACCGCCGTCACGTAGTGGTCGATGGGGCCCTTCCCGCCGCCCATCCGGTGTCCCAGGCTCTTCCTCGTCACCGGCTTGTAGGGGGCGGGCACGCGCCACACGGCGAACATGGATTTGGGATCGATGCTGCGCCCGATGGTCAGGCGGATCATCTCGAAGTGGCCCCAGTGCAGGTACCCCCCGCCCAAAGCCTGTGGGGGGACACGGTGGGACGGCTCAGGGACACGCAATCCCGGCCTCTGGAATAATCCCCCCGATCCGTTCCGTGCCTCTTCCCGCTCACCAGGATCCCGTACTGCCCCTCCGTGAAGTCGGTGGCCACCTGGGACGGGCCGCGGATGTCACGGAGCCGCCGGGGCTCCCGCCGGACCTTGGGCACCGCCGGCACCTTGTCCATGAACTTCAGCTTCGGCTTCTCGGGGATGGTGATCCCTGCCGGGGAACGCCAGGATCAGGATCCCCGGGATCTCCGGGAACTCCCTGGGGAGTGCCCCCGCCTCCCCTGACGGGGATCTCCCGCCGTCCTTCCCCCTCACCGCTGTAATCCGGGGGCAGCGTCCACTTCTTGAGCCCCGCCCGGGGAACCGCGACGCCGCCGGGACCTGCGGGACAGAGCGGGGGGTCTCGGGCAGGGCCGAGAGGGGAGGAGGGACCCCGCGGGGCCTCCCCTTCCCGCTCTCAGGATCCCCCGCAAGCCATCACATCCCAGCCGGGTGTCCCACCCAGCCCCCCTGACCTCCCCCGGCCCGGAGCGGCCCCGGGAGCCGCCATCGCCACATCGCCGGGACACGCCGGAAGTGCCGCAAGGGCGCCGCCATTGGTCCGTCCTCAAACACGCCCCGCCCGCGGTCCGGCCGGGAAACGCGGCGGGAACATTAGTTCCGGAGGGAAACGCGGGGCATTCCATTCCCAGCCCCGAACCAGGCGGTGGTCACCGGCGGGGGACACCCCCGAGGGTCCCGAGGGAGGTGCTGGAAGTGGCCTGGATGTGCTCCCAGCCTCTGTGCTGGGCTAGTGTGCTGAGTTTATGGGGATAGGTTTCATATTCTTCCCAGTAGCTGGCACGGCGCTGGGTATGGATTCGGGATGGGCGATCCGGGGCCGTGACGTCACAAACGGGGTGAGCGCTGGGGCGAGGCGGGGCTGTGATGTCACACAGGTGTCCCCCCCGCAGCACTGTGACATCGGCACGGTGTCTCTACAGGACACGTGCCACCACCCCTGGCTCCCAGTGTGGCCACGATGGGACACAGATGAAGCCATGAGTTTCCTGCTCCCCACGCTTGTCCTGCTGGTGGCCACTACGGCCGTCCTGCTGGCCACCCGCATTTGGAAGGCGCGGAAGCGCCTCGGGAGCCGGGCCGGGGCCTCGCGGCGCTGCCGAGCGGCCCCGGGGGCTCCCGGTTCCCCCCGGGCTGAGGAGACCCCTCCCCGGGGCCCGGCTGCCCCGGAGAGCCCCCCGTACATCCCCTGCCGCTGCGGGCCCTGCTGCACCCCCTGCGTGACGGCGGCCCGGGAGCTGCAGGACCTGGTGACGCCGCTGTGGCCCGAGGTGTCCTTCCCGCGGGACTCGGAGATGTGGCAGCTGTGGTGGGAGGACCTGGAGCAGCTGCTGGAGCGAGGCCGCCTGCCCTGCTGCGCCTCCTCCAGCTCCTGCTTCCATGGGAGCTTCCATCCCTGCCGGAGCCTCGGCCAGAGCTGCCGCGCTCCGGCTGGAGAAGAGCTCGTGGACGGATCCCGCTGCTCCCTCGCAGCTGAGGGCTTGAGGGGAAACTGCTCGTCCCTGAGGATGCACGTGGCCAGGAAGAGCCTGGAAGTGAAGCTGAGAGCCCAGCCCCTGGCGGTGAGGCGTTCCCAGGAGCAGCTGGAGCTGGGGGAGGTGTCACCCCCTTCCTCCGAGAGCTTCCCCGGCTCCGAGAGCCCCAGCGGGAGCTGCCAGACCCCGGACGGGGAGGAGGCCTCGGACAGCTCGCCGAGCTCCGCCGGATCTGCGGATATCAGCGGGGCCCGCTCGGCCCTGAGGATGCACGTGGCCAAGAAGAGCCTGGAAGTGAAACTGGGAGCCCAGCCCGCTCCCGTGAGGAGTTCCCAGCGGCAGGCGGCACAGCAGGAAGCGTCCTGGAGCCACTGGCACCCCATCCACAGCTCCCACAGCACGGCAGGGCGGCCGAGTCACTCCGAGTCGGAGAAGATCCTCCACAGGCAACGGGAGTTGGAGTTCCCCCATCTCCAGCGGTCTCCTCCAAGAAGCATGAGGCCCCTGTTGGCAGCTCAGATTCTTCTGAGGATGCTCTGTTTTAAATAAATCAGCATTTCCCCAAAGAACTGAGTTTGGGCTGGGATGGGCTGTAGGCACACGGTTTGGGAATTGGGAGTGTGACTGATCCTCATCCCCAGTGGCACAGCTGTGAGCAGCAGTGACAGCAATGAGCCATGGAGTGCCCAGGGGCACTGACCAACCACCGAAGGGAGCAGAGGGCACACAGGTGCACTGCATCAACGTGAGGGGATAAAAGGCTGGGCTAAGGAACAGCGTGGGCACATGGCTGAAGCCTTCTGAAGTGATGGGATGTTACTCTGGATGGGCAGGTGCCTGAAGCCTTCTGAAGTAGAATGGTCTCGCTGTGCATGGCTTGAAGCCTTCTGAAATTGTGTGGTGATGCTCTGCGTGGCCGTCTCAGCTGTGACAAGAGGGTTCCTTCCTTCCCAGTAGCTGGCTTTGGATTCAGGACAGGGACACTGAGGATCACATGTGTGTGCTTTGGCTGCTGCTGAGCAGGGCTTGCCCTCCTCATGGACTTTCCATGTTTCCTGCTGGGAAAGGTGGGATGAGAGTCCAGGGTCAAATCCCTGGGAGACTCTGGAAATGAGCTCCAGGTGGGTGCAAGGGGCAGGCCTGCCCCACCCAGCTTCCCACTGGGACACCCACAGCCAGCACCCTCCTCCAGGTGTTAAAGCCATTGCTGGGGCCGGTCCTCTCTGTTTTTCCATCCCTATCCATGGAGGCTCCCAGGGGAATGTGCTTTGTGCTGCTCCTTGCAGCCCCAGCCCTGCACGGGATGCTCTGGGTGAGGGGGTTTTGGGGGACCTGGCTGCCCTCCCTGGGGAGAAGGACCACGGGGATCCCCAAATCTGTGTCACAGCCCTGAGTGTGCTCGCCGTGCCAGCCTCTGTCACCAGTGGCTGTGTGTGGCTCTCAGTGCTGCCCACTGTCCTGGGGTCTGGCTGTGGGGTGACCCACGCTGGCAGGGATGGGACAGGGATGATGGCACCACCTGGAGCAGCCCCTGTTCAGCTGGGGACCGCCCTGCAGGTGAGGAATGGGGGCACCGCGTGTCCCTGATGGGTGTAGGGTGGCAGTGAGGGGACCCTGTCAGCCCCATGGGTTTTCTGTCACCTGCTCTGAGCTGGGTGACACCCCCAGCCCCAATCCCACTTCTTCCCGCCGCATCCAGCATGGGAATTTCCCCCACTTTGGCTGCTGCTGAGCAGGGCTTGCCCTCCTCACGGACTTTCCATGTTTCCTGCTGGGAAAGGTGGGATGAGAGTCCAGGGTCAAATCCCTGGGAGACTCTGGAAATGAGCTCCAGGTGGGTGCAAGGGGCAGGCCTGCCCCACCCAGCTTCCCACTGGGACACCCACAGCCAGCACCCTCCTCCAGGTGTTAAAGCCATTGCTGGGGCCGGTCCTCTCTGTTTTTCCATCCCTATCCATGGAGGCTCCCAGGGGAATGTGCTTTGTGCTGCTCCTTGCAGCCCCAGCCCTGCACGGGATGCTCTGGGTGAGGGGGTTTTGGGGGACCTGGCTGCCCTCCCTGGGGAGAAGGACCATGGGGATCCCCAAATCTGTGTCACAGCCCTGAGTGTGCTCGCCGTGCCAGCCTCTGTCACAGTGGCTGTGTGTGGCTCTCAGTGCTGCCCACTGTCCTGGGGTCTGGCTGTGGGGTGACCCATGCTGGCAGGGATGGGACAGGGATGATGGCACCACCTGGAGCTGACAGGGATGGACACCACCTGGAGCAGCCCCTGTTCAGCTGGGGACCGCCCTGCAGGTGAGGAATGGGGGCACCGCGTGTCCCTGATGGGTGTAGGGTGGCAGTGAGGGGACCCTGTCAGCCCCATGGGTTTTCTGTCACCTGCTCTGAGCTGGGTGACACCCCCAGCCCCAATCCCACTTCTTCCCGCCGCATCCAGCATGGGAATTTCCCCCACTTGGCCAGAGGGCTCCTGGCTGTGTCAGCAGGCCCTTCTCCCTCCCTGTGGAATGTTCCTGCTCCAGGGAAATGGGGGTTCCCTCTCAGGATCTGCAGCTCTGAGCCTCCCTGCGAACTCCATGATGGGATCTGTCCGTGAGGGATCCAAGCAGGGGGATGTGGCGTTGTCCGGATCAGGATGGGATACAGGGGTGTCCTCTGTGAATTTTGGGGTGCAGGGTGGTATCGTGTGTCCCTCTCATTCCCAGGGTGTTCATTATTCCCTCATTTCAGGTTTAATCCTCTGCCTGGAGCTCTTGGCTCCTTCTCCTCGGGGCTGGACACGCTAAAAATGGGGAATGAAGGCAGTTTGGGGGGAAAGTGTGTGGGATCAGTGTGGGGGATCCCCTCTACTCCTCCCCTCCTGCAACAGGGTCCGGGATATTCAAGCCCACCCCTTCCTGGGGAAGGAGATCCGGGGAAATCACGCCTGGGCAGTGCCCAGCTCCGTGCTGGGTGCCGCCCCTGCCCCCGCCCGTGCCCCCGCTCTGCGGGGAGGAGCCGCAGGAGCCTAATGGCCCTTGATGGATTTTTCTTCCAGGAATCCGCTGCGGGGTGGTTTTGGGTTTTTTTTTAAATTTTTTTTTTCTTTCTTTCTCTTTTTTTTTTTTTTTAAATTTTTTTTCCCTTTCTTTCTCTCTATTTTTTTTCCTTTCTGCGCTGCTGTAAACACGTGTGGAGCTGGAAGGAGGGGGAATGAGGAGCGGACACGCAGCTTGGGGAGAGGGGGGCTTTTGGGGGGGACTGGCACCCCGATTTCCTTAATTCCCTTGCGTGAGGGTTTGGATGAGCAGCTCTTCCTGGCGGGGGGAACACGGTGTCCTGGAGCTCTGCCCGGAACGGGAGCGGGGGCGACGCTGGGAATTGCCCCACCGGGCCAGGGAGCATCTTCCCAGCCCGCGCAGCCCTACTTCCCGCCCCTCCCCGGGTTTTGGGGGGCTGTCCCCTCCATCCCCCCGTGTCCCCCCTGGGCTGGGCGGTGCCCCGGGGGGGGATGCCGCAGTCGCTGACGTCACGGCGCTCAGCCAATGGGCGCGGGTTCTGGCGGGGTGGGGCGGGGGCGGCCCCGGTGGGGAGCGGGGCTGCTCCGGGGGGTCCCGGTGCCCCCCGCTGTCCTCATGCAGGGCATGGGGAGCCTCCGGCTGGGCAGCCGCGCCGTCATGTACACGGCGGAGACCCTCCCCAAGGGCAAGAACCGCGTCATGGGGGTGAGTCTGGGGGGGTCGGGGGGAGAAACGCTTGGAAAATCCCCCCTCAGCCCCTTCCCGGGGGATTCCTGCTGATCCCTCAGGGGGTGCTGCGTCTCTGGAGAGGCGCTGGGACTGAGGCATCCCCCATCCCCAGGGTGGCTCTGTGGGCAGGGGGATTGAGTTGACCCCATTCTCTCCCATCCCTCTCTTCCAGACCATCCAGATTATGACAGGATTCCTGCACATCGGCTTCGGGATCGTCCTGACCACGCTCACCAATGTCTACACCTCGGTCTTCGTCATCGGAGAGATCCCTTTCCTGGGCGGCGTGTCGGTGCGTGCCGGGGGCTGGGAAGGGATTCCCACCGGGAAAAAAATGCCTAGGGGGGTGGGATGCCCACCAGGAAGGGAAACTCACCAGGGAACAATGCCCACGGGGAAGGGCATCCTGCTGGGGGGGATGCCAGCAGGTGGGACACCCTTTGGAAGGGATGCCCACCGGGAATGATGCACCTGCGGCTCCCGAGACCTCTGGAAAACAAGGGCAGGGGGGTCACAGTGTCCCCTGTGCCCTGTTAGTGTCACCTCTGGGCAGGTTTGGGGTGCTTGGGGTGCCCTCAGCGCCAGCTGAGCCCCCTCTCTCCTGCTGCAGTTCATCATCTCCGGGTGCCTCTCCATCGGCGCTGAGAAGAGCCCCACGGAATGTGCGGTGAGTTTTCCCGGGAGCACGCTGGGAATGGTGAGGTCAGGTGTCCATGGAGTGGGTGAGGTGTCCCCCTGGTGTTTTGGGGAGGGTCTGCCAGCCTCCCCCAAACCCCCTGGGTGCCCACAGGTGAAGGGCAGCCAGACCATGAACGTCATCAGTGCCATCTTTGCGCTCCTGGGAATCGTGGCCTTCATCGTGGACCTCAACCTCAACGGGCTCTACCGCTCCAGCTTCAACTACTACAGCTATCTCGTCCTGGTAAAATCCCACTTGGTGGAATTCCTGCCCTTGGGAATTCCCCTGGGGCCTTTTCTCCAGCCCTCAAGGGGTGTAGTGTCCTTTCCCAAATCCCTGTTGGGGTGGCGGTTTCTCCTCTGCCGGCGTGACCTATTTTCGGCTGGTACCTTGGGAGATGAGTCACCCCCTGGAAGCGTCCATGAGCCATAAAAACGGCGGCATGGAGGGCTTGGAGTGAGACCTTGGAGCTGGGGATGCAGAGGGAGAGAGGAAGGGGGAGCCACAGAATGCTGCCCTGTGTGGGATTCATCCTCCTGGGCGCTGCTGAGGGGGTGCTGATGGGGTTTTCCCCATCCTGGAGCTCGCAGGGAATGGGATTTCCATCGTGCTGCTCATCTTCACCATCCTGGAATTCTGCATCGCCGTGGCCACCGCCAATTTCTGGTGCCGGGCCACCCGCCTCAGCTCCAACGAGGTAAGATGAGGGGGTGGCAGGGATGGATCCCAAAAACTGCATGCCATGATCCCAGTGTCTCCCATAATCCTGGTGTTTCCCAGGCCATGCTGATCGTCCCCAGTGCCACCCGTGTGGATCTGGCCGTGCCACCGGCGGAGCTGCCTCAGCCTCCCAGCTACAGCGAGGTGATCCCAGGAATAGCCTGGCTAGGAGCAGAGTCAGCACTGGGATGGCTCCTGGGATGGCAGCCCCCATCCTACTGTCATCACTGTCTCCTCCCTGGGAAAACTTCCCACCCCAATCCTCAGGGAGCATCCCGGAGCATCCATCCCTCTGCTCTGAGAATGGGGAGGAGATCCCAAACCCCCATGGGTGGTGGGTGTTGGGGGTGGGGTCCCCCCAAATCCTGCCCCCTTTCCAAAACACCTGCTGGTCTCTTTGCAGCTGGCTGCTCCTGAAGTCTGACACCGAGGCTGTTGGAATGGGATCCTGCCTCCATCGCTCCTAAATCCCAGGGCTACGGCATCCTCCTCCCACTGTGCTGCTGGCTGGGATGTGCTGGTCCCCCCCAAAAGCCAGGGACACCCCCAAATTCCCTGCCCCTCTGCCCCTGGGCCTGGTCTGAGGGGCTCCACTTGCTGGCTGCTATGGGAAGGGGCTTCTCCAAGGGGGAAATCTTGGGCAATTCCTGCCTGTAAATCCCTGGTGGGATGCTGGGGTTCGCTCATGTTGGGGTTCAGGAATTCCTGGTGGTTTGGAGTGACCCCAAGGTGTGCCGGGAGCTGGGCGGGTCACCGGAGCATCTACCTCGGCTCGTCCCCTGTTGGCTTCATTTTCTCTTGGGAATAAATGCTCTCTCCGGGCTTGTGTCTCCTGGATTTGGGAATTTTCAGCTTGGGAGCTACACTTCCCCCTCACGGAACTGCTGCCCCTCAGCAAAGAGGCTCCTCCTGATCTAGGGATACTTGCTCTCTCCTGAGGAGAGAATTCCTGAGGGAATTCTGCTCCCCTGAACTCCTGGTACCCCCTTGCTTTCCTGGAGAGGAATTCTGCTCTCCTAAACCCCTGGCACCTGCTCCCAAGGGTATTTCACTCCTCTAAACTCCTGGTGCCTGCTCTCCCGAGGGAATTCTGCCCCTCAAAACCCCTCTCCTGAGGAATTTCTTCCCCTCAAGACCCCTGTCCCGAGGGAATTCTGCCCCTCAAAACCCCTCTCCCGAGGGTTTAGGAGTTCCATCCTCCTAAACCCCAGTACCTGATTCTGAGGGAATTCTGTCCCCATAAACCCCTCAGAACGTGCTCACCTGGGGGAATTCTGCCCCTCTAATCCCCTCTCCTGCTGGAATTCCACCCTCTAAACCAGGGTACTTGGTCTCCCGAGGGAATTCTGCTCCCCAAGCCCCCCCACCACGCCCATTCCAGCACGGTTTGCTATATTTAGCTGGGCTGGAGCAGCCGGAGAGCCGGCGGCGATGCCGGTGACGCCAGCACATCCCGGTTCTTCCGCCACCGGAGAAGCTGCCCCGGGGCTGGAGCTGCTCTGGGAGGTGACATGGGGACACCGGTGTCATGTGCTCCCTGTTCCCACAATCCTGGATGGCGGGAATGGAGATGAGGGGTGCTCCCAACCCTTATCCACGCAGCAATTCCTAAAAAATTCTTTATTTTCAGGGAAGAAAAAGGGCTCTGGGATCATTTTGAACAGGACCAGGTTTGTCAGCTCCTGACAAGCTCATTTATGGTTCCACCCTTAAATATCCTGCATCTGGGGGAATGCTGGTGGATTTAATGAGGTGGTGATGAGCATCCAGCGACATCAAATTATTTAAGGAGCATCCCAAGCTCATGGAAGTGGAAAGGTGGGATGGAGGGGAGGAAAGAGACCCCAGTGCTGATTTTCCAACGGGTGGGAACATCCTGGTGAGTTCCCAGTGCTCTGGGGGAGGATCCAGCCCAAATTTCCCCTCCAGTGCCAGAGTGGGATCAGTGACCTCCTCCTTGAACATTCCCTTATGTTTTGGGGTGACTTCAGTGTTTTCCTTCTCCTTTCCACGCTCCCTGACAATGCTCCGCTGCTCAGCCAAAGCCTCATGGATTATTCACTCCCTGTCAGTTATTTCTGTTCCCGGCTCTGAAAAAATAATGAGCCCGATCAGTAGGAAAAGCCCCAGGGATTTGGGGAGCAGTATGAACAGGCTGCCTCTGCTCAGCCCGTGGCCACAGCCCATTACAGCCCCGGCTCCTCGCCTGCGGCTCCAGAGCATCCCGACCTCTCCTGGCTCCACCGGGACCACCACGAAGCCACCCTGCCACCCATCCAAGCTCTGTGTTTTCCCAGTGTGGTGTTTCCTGGGAAGGAGGCTTCCTCCTCTTCCACTGGCATCAGGGTCTGTTTTCCTGGAGTATCCCAGTGTTCAGATGTGGCTTTCCCTGAAAATGCTGGAATAAGTGTTGAAGGCTCTATGGGAATGTGGGGGTTTTTAATATATTTTTATTTTTAGGTGGGAATTTGCAGATCTAGGGGGAGTGGAGACTTCCAGGAGTTGGGAATAGCAGGTGACAGGGACCACAGAGTTTTGTGTCCCTGCTGGAGGTGATCCCTAAGGAAAACCAAAACCCTTGGAGGAGCTGGAAAGGGGAACTGTGAGGTGAACAGGGTGTCCCAATGGCTCTTCCCCTTGGGAAGAGAAGGATTCAGGGAGACCTTGGCAACTCTTCCAGCACCAAAAAGTGCCCCAAGAGAGCTGGAGAGGGACTTTAGAAAAGAGCCTGGAGTGCCAGGACAAGGGGGAATGGCTTCCCACTGCCAGGGGGTGGGTTTAGATGGGATACTGGGAAGAAATTTTTCCCTGCCAGGGTGGCGAGGTGCTGGAATGGATTTCCCAGGGAAATTGTAGCTGCCCCATGCCTGGAAGTGTTTAAGGTCCCATTCCAGGATTGCCAGTGGAAGTCGATGCCGGTGAAGCCTTGGAGAAGTTTTCTGGAACTTTTCTGCAGCCTCAGGAGTTTTCCTGGCAATGAGCGGATCAAAGGCTGGAACGTCACGTGCAGGGGGTGATGGACGCATCTGGGACGGGGTTTGGGAGCAATGTCACCGTGTCCCACATGCCAGGTATGGATCACCCCAGCAGGCAGCAATGCCCCCCCAGCCTCCTGCCTGCTCCTTGTTCCAGATTCCCTAATCTAGAATGGACACTGGGATGTTTAAAGCCAAAAAACCTGAAACCTTTCCCAGAAAACATGACTTTCCTTCTGGAATCAGTAGGGAAAGAGCCCTGTGGGAAGCAGAAACACCTGGAAGCAAGGCAAAATGTTGACTTTTGGTATTTTTATGGGGATATAAAGTTTGTCCCAGGAAGCAGCAAGTTTCTTTGGAGAGCTTTTCTCCATTGTAATCTATTTTCTTTGGAAAAAAACTCATGGATTTTTGGGGTTGGAAAAAGAATTTTGGTTCCACCAGGCTCGTAAATTTTGTCCTGTGCTGGTGGGAGGGAATTTGGGAGGGTCTCACTGATCCCCTCTGAGCATCCAGTCAGGCTTCCCCCATCCAAAACTTGTCCTAGAAAACAGGAAAATGAACATTAAAATCCAAGGAATGTGTTGTATATATCTACAAAGCCAAAAATTCCTGCAAAGAAAAGGTTGGAAAGCTCCACCACCCGGCCCTGCTGCTTCCTTGCATCTGCTTCAAAGCTTCACCTCCTCTGGAATCCGCTTCCAAAACAAATCCTGACATCCTACCTTGGGCTCCTGCCATCCCCAGCTGGACCTGGGTTTATTTAGGAAGGGGGAAAGCGCTTTTTCCATGGATCACCCACTCGGAAAGTGGGGTTTTGGGGGCTGAGAGCAGTCACGGCTGTTTCTGGCTGCAAGGCTGGAACTTCAGGAATGCTGTAGGAATCTGGAAAGGCGGATTTGGGAGGAAATCCACCGTGTAGGGTGGCTTTGGCTGGGAATGTGAGCCGTGGATAATGGTGGAGGATACCCCGGCTGCCTAAAGGCTAAAGAGGGGATCCCAGAATTTCCACGGGGGCTCAAGTGTTCCTTCCTGGGGCTGGAATGAGATCCCTGGGATTGTTAGGATTGGAGTGTTGAGAGGGATGAGGCACCAGCAGGAATTAAAGGCTCTGAGGCATCAGGAATGTGATGAAGAGGCTGAATCTCATCCATGTCCATGTTTTTCCTGGAAAGCCGTGCTGCCAGATGCAGCCCTTTACAAGGCCAAGTGCAGGCTTCCATCAGGGATGCAGGATGGAGGAAGGTCATGGGTGGGATGGAGGAATGCCATGTTCTTCCAGCTCTTTTTTGGGATATGATTTGGAGCGGTTTGGAGGGGGTGTCCCGTTCCCTGGTGTGTGGGAGCATGGGGAGGGCGCAGAATCCTGGAATGGTTTGGGGTGGAAGGAACCTTAAGGATCATCCAGTTCCACTCCCCCTGCCATGGGAAGGGACGTGTCCCACCAGCCCAGGTTGTTCCAAGCCGGCCCCAGGGCTGGAAGCCGCTCCCGAGCTCTGGAAGCGCGACGCTTCCAAACGCGGCCTCTCAGCTCCCTCTAGAGCCAGAGAGAAGGAAAAAACTTCCAGAAGTTGCTCCAGCTACTCCTGAAATTGTCACCTGGAGGGTCCTGTCCTTTCCCAGGCAGAGAGAGAGGGTGATGCCAGAATCCTGGACCTAAAAATTCCCGTTCCACCAAGAAATTCCTGCCCTGTACACATCAGACATCCAGGAAACCTGGGGGCTCCTCCAGGTCCCAATGCTCCTGGAGAAAAGGACATGGCTGTTTTCTGGGAAGAGGGAGAGATGGAGGCAGGAAGGGGCCTCTGAATCCCTCGTGATCCCTTTGCCGTGTGTGGTGGCTCCATTCCCAGCCTGAGCTCCCATTTCCCATCATAAATAACAGCATCTCCTTTCCCTCTGACTCCCAATGGAGATTGCCAGAGATCCCTGAATCCCTCCTGCGTGTCCTCACTGGGGACAAACTCACAGGACTGGAGGAGGGAGAATTCCCAAAACTGGCAATAAAGGCATTTCCTTTATAAGGGGGTTTATCAAATTCCCTGTCTCAGTGCAAGCTTTTCCTGGGAAGTGGGCAGGGTTAGGTTATGAACACCTCATTAGGCACCAAGCTAATTGCAGGAGCGATTCCCAAACAAAGCATCCACAATTTGGGATGGAAAGGGGATCTTGGAGCATTCTGAGGGAAAAGCATCCAACCCTTCCCAAGGCCGCAGAGCCCGGGGAGGGGTTCCCTGTCCCTCCCTCCCTATTCCCGTGCAGGATTTTGGGAGCCTCCATTGGCAAAGCCGCCTCGTTGAGCAAGAGGGCCCTGACGAGAATTCCATGAGCGAGCTTCCCGCAGGGAGCAAAGGGCAGCGGGAGCGTGTCCCTTCCTGGCCGGCACCTCCCGGGGATTTCGGACAGCAAAGGGACCACAGTGAGGAGGAAGAGGAGGAGGAAGGCACCTGGGAATTCCTTCAGCTTCCTGGTCTTGTTCCCAGGCCATGGCGGCCACCACGGTGACCGACGCCGGCAGCGTCAGGATCATCACGGAGGTGATCCCGGCCACGGATCCCCGGGCGGCCCAGCTGGCCTCAGGCTCCCAGACACCTGCCAGGACCTCATTCCAAACACAAGGCTTCCGGAGGGCTCATCCCAAGGTGTTGGGGGTGAGACATGGCCTTCCAGGGGCCCAGCAGGGATTGGGGATCTGCAGGGATTGTCCTGCTGGACATTCTCCCTGGTTGGGTGGAGGGGACGTTGGGACAGGTGCCTTCTCAGTCCCTTCCCGGCACTGTGACGTGGGATTGGGGTGGGATGTGTCTCCCTCATCCTTCCCCAGACCATCCACATCTTCACTGGAATTGTCCACGTCGGCTTCGGGCTCATCCTGACACTGTCGGAGCACAGTAACCCTTCCCTCCCTGTGGCCAGCGGGATCCTCTTCTGGCTGGGGATCCTGGTAAGTTGGGATGAGGACATGGGAATCTGAGGGAAATCCTGATGGACTGGGGACAATATCCCAGGGTCACCAGGTCTCCACTGACCATCCCCCTCCGACAATCCGGGGTGTTTGTGCATCCCTGAACCCCAATTCCCAGCTGGAGGGACACCAGGAAGGGTGCCAGGGAAGGGTGCCTTGCTGCTGACACCAATTCCCGCTGTTTTCCAAGTAGCTCCTGGTCTCGGGCTCCTTGCTGGTGGAAAGTGAAAGGAGAGACAGCCCTGCGCTGGTAAGATCCAGGCTGGGAGGGGCAATGTGTCCCCCCATTCCTTATGTCCCCTCCAGCAGCTGCTGGGACCCCTCCACAGCCTGGATTCATCCCATGGGATCCACAGGCCAGTCTCCCCCTTGGGAAGTGCCCGGCTCTCCCACATGGAGCACAGGATGGGGGTCGGGGTCACTGTGGGATGAGGGAGATAAAAGGTCCAGGAGACCCCCATGGCTTTGGAATCACTGCGGGGATGAGTGGGACAAAACTGGGCAGCTTCTCCGGGAGATCTCAGATCCATGTGGGAAGCGGCCCTTCCCGGTGTCCGTGTCACGGGGTGCTTCCCGCAGGTCAAGACCTGCTGTGTGGTCAGCGTGGGCGTTGTCCTGGGCACGCTGGTGGCCACCGGGATCCACGGCACGGCCATCACCCGGGTCGTGCCCGGCTGCGAGAAGCCCGGGCCCTTCCAGCGCCGCCCGGAATGGTGCCTCAACAGGGAGAGCAAGGTAGGGACAGCCGGGATCGCACGGGAAATCCCAGTCTCCATGCGGGGTGTTCAAGGATCCAGGTCCTCTTCGGGTGGTGGATCCCGGGATATTCCCGTCCTCCTCCTCCTCCTCGCAGATGCTGAGCAACAGCCTGGATTCCATCTTGGTGATCCTCGGCCTCCTGGAATTCTGCGTGGCCGTGGCGGTCCTGGCGTTTGGATACGACACGGTCCGGCAGCACACATACAGCCAGCTGGTGAGGGAAGCGGGCATCCCTGGGAATCCCTGGAGTGCTGAACCACCCCTTCCTTCCTCCGAAGGGCCGCCCCAGTCCGGGCATTCCCGTGTCCCTCCCTGAGATTTCCCTGGATTTCGCTGGTTTTGCTTTCCCAGGCGCTGTAGCCACGGCCCAGCCCCGCACGTGCAGCCGCATCCCGGGGGGATCCCCGCTACCGGAGCCCCCTGGGATGTCCTCAGCGTGTTCGGTCCCCAATAAAGGCCTCTCCCCCAGCCCAGCCCGCGCGTGTCTCCGGGGGTGACTCGGGGGGCGGGGGGGGCTCGCCCCGGGTGTGTTTGGGGGAGTTCGGGCGGCCCCGGTACCGGCGGCCACGGTGGTGGGCGGAGCTGCCCGGCGCAAAGATGGCGGCCGCAGCAGTGCAGGAAGAATGCTGCCCGGCACAAAGATGGCGTCAACGCCCGACACAAGCATGGCGGCGGCCGCCGTGCGCGGAGGGCGTTGCCCAATACAAAAATGGCGGCCAGGGAGGCGCTCTGGCTTCGCGTTTTTGCGGGGATCGCTGGTCTGACGTCATCTCTCCGCGACGCCGCGGAGCCGCGTGGATCATGGAGGGGGAGAACGGGGGGACACCGGGACCGGGAGCGATCCCCGAGGGGCCCAGCGGGGCCGCCTCGGCTCCGGCCGCGGCTCGGCGGCGGCGGAAAGGCGGCAAGAAGCCGCAGGAGGCGGTGGTAGCCATCCCGCGGGGCAAGCCCAAGTCGGGACGCGTGTGGAAGGATCCCGGGAAGAAGAGGTGGGAAGGGAGGCGGGGACTGGGGGGCAGTTCCTGGGGGGCTCTGGGCTCCAGAAGGGCTCTTTGGGGGAGTCATGAGGTCTGGGGGAATTTTGAGGGGGACAGGATTGTTTCGGGGGCTTGTGAGGGGGTTCCGGAGGTATCCTTGAGCTTTAGGAAGGATCCAGCGGTGGCAGGGATGACTTGGAGGGGATGCTGAGGATGCCGTGGCATGCTCCGAGGTTGGCGGAGTTTCGTGGAATTCTGGAGAGGAGCTGGAGTGGCCCCGGCTGCAGCCCGGGGTTTTTGGGGATCCAGTAGCTCTGGTGTGCCCACGCAGGTTCTCCCACATGATCCAGGACAAGGCGCTGCGCAGCTCCTGGGCACGGAAAATGAAGGAGAGGCAGGAGAGGAAGCTGGTCCGGGATCTGGCACGGCAGCTGGAGGAAGCCAAGCAGAGGGAGAAAGAGGTAACGGGGCTCAGGAGCTGGAGAATTCCCATCTTTCCCGAGCACAATCCCTTGTCTCTGCCCTCTTCCCGGCCTCAGAACTGTGGCAGAGCCCAGGAAAAGGGCGGCTGGGATGGACAATTCCCTGTCCTGCTGCCAAATCCACTCACTGACGGTCACATGCCCCAAGTCACTGACTCGGAATAAACTCCCTGGGTCAATTCCAGCCTCACCCGGGGTGGAAAAGCTGCTGGAATGACAGATTTCACACTTGGCTGGGCAGGGGCTGGTTTGGATTTAATCCCAGGGGAAGGGATCCGCAGGGAATGTTGTGGTGCTGCTCCCACAGGAAAAGAAGCGGCGGCGGGAGGAAAACCTGAAGCGACGCCTGGAAAACGAGCGGAAAGCCGAGATTGTCCAAGTGGTGAGTGCCCTGTGCCAGCTGGGAGCAGCCCTGCGAGCACCCCACAACCTCCAGCCCCTTGGATCAGCTCCAGTTTGCTCCAGTTCCTCTCCCTGTCTCCGTCTTTGGAGGATCCCGGGAGGATCCGGGCAGGCTGGATGTGTGTCCCCTGTGCTCTCCCAGGCTGGGGAGCACCAGAACTGAGGGATAATGGGGTGGTGGAGCGAGGGAAATGCGGCACTGGTGGGGATCCATGCGGGGAAAGCCTGGCTTTTCCATCGGGAAGAGACCTGGGAGCTCGGGGTGGGTGTGGTGAAGAGCTCACCTGTGGGTGAGGATGGGGTTAGTGTTGGGATAAATCCCTTCCCAGATCCTGAAGGTGGTGGGAGGCTGGGAGCCATCCACGCCCATCCTGCCTCATTCCCACACTCTGCTGCACTCCTGGAAATGCTCCAGGACGGAGCTTGGAGCAACCTGCACCAGTGGAAAGTGTCCCTGCCCATGGCCAGGGGGGAACTGGATCATCCCTAAGGCCCCTTCCCTCCCAAGCCATTCTGGGCTCCTATGATTCCATGAAATCTCCCCTCTTTTCCCGTTTCCCAGATCCGGAACCCCCTGAAGCTCAGGAGGGCCAAGAAGAAGCAGCTGAGGCGGGTGGAGAAGCGGGACACGCTGGCCCTGCTCCAGAAGACGCCCGTGAGGCGCAGCACGGAATGAGGCAGGATTTGGGATGCTGCCACGAGGATCCTGCTCCTTCCCAGCGGTTTTTCCTCGGCTTGCCAGGCAGGAATCGCTGCCAGGACCCTCAGTGTTGGACAAACAACAGGACAGAGCTGAGGGGGTGCATTCCACAGGCACCAGCTGCTGGATCCCTCAATCCCTGTGGAATCAGGATGTGGAACAGAACTTTGCTTTCCCAAATTTGCCTTTTTCTTATAAAAATGAATAGGAACTGAGACAGATTCGCCTCCACTGGCTCTGGGGACTGAAGGCTCCAGCTGGAGCCTTCCCTAAGGCATTCCTGGGATTAGAGTGTTCCTTGCAGTTGCCTTTTCCCCAAAGAGGGAATTCCCACTGGGAATGAGCCCTGGAACCTGTCAGCAAGGAAGGGTTCACAGTGTCACACAGCCTTCTGTGGGGGGCAACACTGGGAATTCGGTGGGGGCTATAAGTTGGAAATCCACATGGATTTCTTATTTCTTAACATTCCTGGTTTTTCTTGGTCCATGGACACCCCTTTCTGCATTCCTGGGGAGGGATGTGGCTGTGAGCTGGGATGGAGGGGATGGGGGCACAAAGGGGTGCACTGGGTGGAAAATGGGATTGCAGGAATCAGTGTGAAGCCCTGGGATGGGAATATGAGGCCCTGGAGCTTCATCCTGGCGTGACAATTTTGGGGGGGTCCTGAATTGGAGTGGGGTGTGTCCCGTCCGTGTCCAGGGTGGGGGTGGTGCCACAGGGAAAGTGGGGACTAGCAGGAATTTCGGGGTGTGGCCGGTGCCAGGCAGGCACGGGGTCATGGGGCAGGAGGGCTCTGCCCTCGCCATTCCCGGGTTAATGATTTCCAAGGAATCCTCGAGCGTCTCCCTCTGCAGAGCCCACGGCCCAGGTTTGCCCGGCGGGGTAAGAGAAGGGGAAGAAGCTCGGGCCCTTGGGGGCCGATTTCCTGGTGGGACGGCTGTGGGAGAGCCACGTGTCTCCTCCCCGGGCTGGACGGGGGCCAACATCCCTGTTCCCAGCCTGCCGTGCTGCCCGGAGAGGGAGCGGGGTGCGCGCAGGACTGGGGGCTTGGAGCCCCTGGATCCCACCCTGCTCCAGCTCCGGGGTGGGGAGGGGGATAAGCGGGGGGGACAGAGGGTGCTGGGAATGGCTGGGCTGGGAGACACATGGAAAAGGGGTGTCCCGGCTGCTGGGTGAGTTTTGGAGCAGGGGTTGGGGGTCAGAGGGTGGGAGGTGGTGAGGAAAGGAGGGGATGGGGACAGGGAAGCAAAGGATGGGGATCGGGGAAGGAGGAGGGGACAGGAACCAGGAAAGAAGGGACAGGGACCACGAGGGGCTGGGGACATGGGAAACAGGGATAGGGACAGGGAAGGAGGGATGCCAGCAGAACTGTCTGGACCACAAACCCCATCCTGGGGGTCCCCCATGGGGATCCCTGGGGACAGGCCCCCGCCACCAGCCCCCTCCTGGGCGTGGCAATCCCTGTGGGACACTCAGGGTGATTCCCATTCCCAGGTGCACCATGGTGGAGGTGACAGTGACACCGCAGTCCTCGCTGGCCGACCGGCCGGTGCAGATCCGTGTGCGGGGACTGTCCCCATCCCAACTTGTCACCCTCCGGGCATGGCTGAAGGACGAGCAGGGCGAGTGCTTCCAATCCCGCGCCTTTTTCCGCGCTGACGGAGCGGGAGAGGTGGATCCCGGGCTCCATGCCGCCCTGGGGGGCAGCTACTCCGGGGTCTGGCCCATGGGGCTCTTCTGGTTCCTGCAGCCCGACACCCTTTTCCGCCGGCTGGTCAAGCGGGATGTGGCCGGCAGCCCCTTCCGCGTCCGGCTGGAAGTGTTCGACGGGCTCAGCCTGGGCACGGATCTGCGGGAGCAGCCGCTGGGATCCTGCGAGGCCGAGCGCTGGTACGTGGGCCCCGGAGTGCAGCGGGTGCCCATCCGCGAGGGAAGGGTCCGTGGCGCCCTGTTCCTGCCTCCTGGTGAGCACTGCGGAGCGGGGAATTCCGGGATATCAAACCTTGGGACTGGCAGGGTGTTTGTTCTTGGGAGCCCTTTGGTGCCCAGTCTTGGGACCCCTGGGATATCCAGCCAGTATTCCCTTGGGAGCCCTGCCTACTGATACTGAACCTTGGGATCCTGGGGATGCCAAACATCAGGACCCGTGGGAAACAGCACTGGGACTCCTGGGATGCTAAACCATAAGATTCCTGGCTATCCAGCCCTGGAAGCCCTGGGATAACAAACCACAGGACCCCTGGGATGCCCAAAGTTGGGATTCCTGGGTTGTCCAGCCTTGGGATCCTTGAGATATCAAACCTTAGGATCTTGGGACCCCCAGGATACTGGACCTTGTGCCCCCTGGGATGCCCAGCCATGGAACCTCTGGGATGAAGGACAGCATGGGTGGCTCCCCATCCCTGACATTCTCCTGGTCTTCCCACAGGTCCGGGCCCCTTCCCCGGGGTCATCGACCTGTTTGGGGGCGCCGGGGGGCTGATTGAGTTCCGGGCAGGGCTCTTGGCCAGCCGGGGCTTTGCCGTGCTGGCCCTCGCCTTCTTCGCCTACGACGACCTGCCCCGAGTCCTGGCACAGCTGGACCTGGAATACTTCGAAGAAGCGGCAGAGCTGCTCCTCCGGCATCCCAAGGTGAGTCCTGGAGTGTGGAGAAAGGCACCTGTCAGCCAGCATGTGCTGGGGACTGGGGGCAACCTGGTGAGCCGGATACCCAGGTGACCAGGGATTGTCCTGGGGACCAGGAATGTCCTGGAGCCATCCTCATCCTGGTGAGCATGATGTCCAGGTGGCAAGGGGTAATGTCCCAGGGTTGTCCCAACACCAGGAATGTCCCAGGGAGTAGGAGATATCCCATGAGGACATCCTTGTCCTGGCACCCAGGGATGTCCCAGTAAATGTATTATCCCCGTGTATTATCCCAGCTGGCTCCATCTCCTCTTGCTTCAGGTCCGAGGCCCCGGCCTGGGCGTGGTGGGAGTCTCCAAAGGTGCGGAGGTGGCCTTGGCCATGGCCACCTTCCTGCCACAGGTGGTGGCCACGGTGTGGATCAACGGTACGAGCTTCCTGTATGGAAACCCGCTGGTCTATAAGGAGCTGCGCATCCCTGCCATTCCCTACTACACCGAGCGCGTCCTGTTCACCGAGGTGGGAGCCATGGACAACTCGGCCATCTTCACCGACCCCCGGGATCCCGCCCGCCAGGCCTCGGCCATCCCGGTGGAGAAGATCCGGGGAAAGGTACTGTTTGTGGTGGGAGAGGCCGACCGCAGCTTCAACAGCAAGCTCTTCGCCGAGCTGGCCCTGGCGCGGATGCCGCCGGAGAGCGGCCGGATCCTGTCCTATCCCGGTGCCGGGCACCTGATCGAGCCCCCCGGATCCCCCCTGTGCAGCAACTCCAGCATCCGGGGCACTCCCAAGCCGGTGGCGTGGGGGGGAGAGCTCCAGCCCCATGCCCGGGCCCAGGAACATTCCTGGCAGGAGATCCTGCAGTTCTTGGAGCTCCATCTGGGGTCGGTTGCTGCCATGAAGCTGTGAGGGGTGGGGAAAAGGAGTTGTGGTCACCGGGATTGTCACTGCGGGGAATAAAGTGTCACCACTGATGGATCCTGCCTGTGCTCCTGGGCGATGATGTGTGGGACACAGATTTAGGAGATTTATTGGAGGTATGTGGGAGATACATCAGACATATATTGGATACATATGGGAGACATACGTCAGATATATATAGGATGTATATTGGACATGTGGGATAGATCTATTGGATATAGATCAGATATATATTGGACATATGTATAGGATATGTATTGGATACATATGGAACATGTATAGGATACAGAACAGACAGCTCAGACATATTGGACATACATAGCACATATATAAAAGAGATATTAGACATCAAGATATATATATATGTGTAGGACACACGTGGGGCACATATAGAGCATATATTGGCCATCTATCAGCCCAGCTGTGGTTCTGGGGTCGCACTGCTCTCTCTGCAGTTGCCCTCACTTCCAGAGGAGGTTTGAGGGAATCACATCCAGCCCCTGGCTCCTCACGCCCTCCGGCCAGGATCCCTGGGCTGCTGGGAGCTGGCGTGACCCCATTCCCACACCCAGGGCATGGAACAGGGAGTGGCCGTGACCGTAACTCTGGGAAGGGTGGGGAGGGGTGATGGAGTTTAATCTGCAGTAAAGATAAATCCCAGAAGGGAAACTTGGGGAAAGGTAGGCACAGGGAATGCACATGGAGGACTTTGGATTCCGGGTGGCACTGTCAGCAGGGCACAACAGCAAGCAGGGATTTTGGGTAACTGGCTGATTTCCAATCCCTCAGATGCTACTGGGGCCATGCCACTGTGTCCCCTGGTCCCGTGGCTATTCCAGGAGTGGCGTGTCCAGATGTCACCGCTGTCCCCAGTAGCTCTGGGGAGGTGGGCACACACCAGCCTTCTCCTTTCCCCCTGGATAAGCTGATCCAGCTGGGCATCCCGCCTGGCACCAGTTCCATTCCCTGGTCACTGGGACAGCCTCCAAATGTGGGATAAGCTTGGTTTGTCCCTGGTCACCGTGACACAGCCACAGGAGGTGACCACAGGGCTGGGGCACTGAGGTCACCAGCAGCACGGGAGCGAGGAGCCCTGGGCAGAGCTCATCCCACGGGATCAGCTGATCCTGATCCCCCCCCGCATCCCAGCCATCTGGATATAAATCCACACCGCGGAGCCCCGTGCTCCATCTGTGTCACCGCCATGGGACGGAGCTGCTCCTTCCTCCTGCTCCTCTTCCTCCTGTCCCCGTGGCCCAGAGCCACCGTGGCACTCCTGCAGTACCGCCATGACTGCGGGGAGTTGGGAATGCAGCTCCTGGTCTTCCCGTCCCACGGCCGCACTGTCCGCTTCAAAGTTCTGGGTGAGTGGGGGGACACCCTGGATCTCCTTGGGGTGCTGGATTTCTCTGGGATTCCCCTCAGTCCTGGAGTGTTCCATGGTGATGGTATGCCAGTGGGATGAGCCCATTGGCTTGGATGAGCTGTTGCTGCTGGCCGGGGGGGTTTCCATGCCCCAGGATGTGTCACTTCCCCGTGTCCATGGTGTCCCCCCAGACGAGTTTGGCTCCCGCTTTGACGTGGCCAACTGCTCCATCTGCCTCCATTGGCTGAATTCCAGGGAGGACGGCTCTGTCATCTTCTCCTCTGGCTACAAGGGTTGCCACGTCCTGTTCAAGGTGACGCTCCTGTCCCCTCCGCGGTCCCTTCCAGAAGGATGGGGGTGACTGTCCCTCGTGTCCCCCCTCAGGAGAACCGCTACGTCCTGCGGGTGCAGCTGGAGGAGCTGCTGTCCAGCGGGATCCCCGTCACCTCCTACGAGGTCAACATGACCTGCCCCAAGCCAGGTGGCTCTGAGATGCTCCCAGATGGAACCCGGGAGAAGACCCGGGACAGCGGAGTCCTGATCTCCCACACCGGCCTGCACCAGGTCTCCGAGTCCTCCCTTACCCTTACGGGATCCCACTTCACATCCCAAGATCACCTGGAGCAGGTTCACACCGTGGGACAGTACCAGCCCAGCTCAGTGCTTCCTGGGCTCCAGCACCATTCCAGTCCAGCCCACTCGGGGCTTCTGCCCCAGCCTGGTGGGGCTCATCCTGTCACCCAAATCCAGGGAAGCTTCTTCCGCCCAGCAGTGCAGCCCCCCCAGTCTGGGGGGCAGAGCCAGCCAGGGATGCTTCGCCCAGTGCTTGTGTCCCAAAACCATCCCAGTCTGGCACATCACGGGGGTCAGACCCAGCCGGGGCACCTGCGTCCAGGGTCTGTATCCCAAAATCAGCCCGGGATGGTGCATCCCGTGGGTCAAAACCAACCAGGGATTCGCCCAGGGTCTGTATCCCAAAACCAGCCTGGAATGATGCATTCTGTGGGTCAAAACCAACCAGGGTCTGTGTCCCAAAACCAGCCTGGGATGATGCATTCCATGGGTCAAAACCAACCAGGGATTCGCCCAGGGTCTGTATCCCACAACCAGCCCGGGATGATGCATTCCGTGGGTCAAAACCAACCAGGGATTCGCCCAGGGTCTGTGTCCCAAAACCAGCCTGGGAGTCAAAACCAACCGGGACAACTTCGCCCAGGGTTTGTATACCAAAATCATCCCGGGGGTCAAAATCAGCCAGGGATTCGCCCAGGGTCTGTATCCCACAACCAGCCCGGGATGATGCATTCCGTGGGTCAAAACCAACCAGGGATTCGCCCAGGGTCTGTGTCCCAAAACCAGCCTGGGAGTCAAAACCAACCGGGACAACTTCGCCCAGGGTTTGTATACCAAAATCATCCCGGGGGTCAAAATCAGCCAGGGATTCGCCCAGGGTCTGTATCCCACAACCAGCCCGGGATGATGCATTCCGTGGGTCAAAACCAACCAGGGTCTGTGTCCCAAAACCAGCCTGGGATGATGCATTCCATGGGTCAAAACCAACCAGGGATTCGCCCAGGGTTTGTATCCCACAACCAACCTGGCTTGACCTCCACTGGTGCCCAGACTCCAGCAGGATTCCTGCGCCCAGGAGCTCAGCCCCTAAACCAGCCGGGAGTATCTCGTCCCAGTCATCACTCCAACTCCCACACTGGGGTCCCGGGCCACACTGGGCTGCTCCATCCTGGCCATCCCAGCCCAGCTTTGGTGCACCCAGGACTCTCATCCTGGCCAGGTTTCATCAGCCCTGGGCTCCAGGCTGAGCCCCAGCCAGGCCTGGGACGCCCTGGGCTGCGGCCCCAGCCTGGATTGCTGCATCCTGGGATTCACTCCCAGCCCGACCTGCTGGAGTCCACAGCGCTCTTCTACCCCTCGCCAGGGGCAGGTAAGGCAGGAAGATGGGATGCTGGGACAAAGGGAAAAGCCTCAAGGTGCTCAACCCACATTGCTGCTGTGCCCCCTCTCTGCTTCCCCCCAGGAATGCAGCTGACACGGGAGCAGTGCCAGGTGCCGGTGGGCCGGATGCCGTGCGTGGCTCCACAGGGGCGGGATGCATGCGTGCAGGCGGGATGCTGCTACGACGACATGGACCGTACCACACCCTGCTATTACGGGAATACCGGTAGGCCACCCGGAGGCACGTCCCAAAATCCCTCCCCAGGGCCAGGAGAGGGTGTTCAGAGTGACGGAGCCTCTCCGTGGTATCGCAGCCACCGTGCAGTGCCTGCTGGAGGGACACTTTGTCCTGGTGGTCCCGCGGGGAATGGTGGCCCTGCCGTACAACCTGGACAGCGTGCGGCTGGCCAGCAGCCAGGCGGGATGTGAGCCCCGCCGCGTGTCCGAGGCCTTCGTCATGTTCCGCTTCCCGGTCACCCACTGCGGCACCACCGTCCAGGTAGGGCGGGAAAACCCCAGAGAGCCCCCAGGTGGGTATGGTGGGGTCACTTCAGGAGAGAAGTGCCCCCAGGATGCTCCCAGTCCCTCCAAAACTTCAGGATAAAGAACTCATCCATGTGCTGCCTCCTGCCTCAAGTCCTGATCTGTGCATCCCCCAGGATGTTTCCCATTCCAGTGTTCCCTACACAGGCGATCGAGGACATGCTGATCTATGAGAACCAGCTGATCTCCACCATCGATGTCCGGGGATCCCCCCGTGGCTCCATCACTCGGGACAGCGTCTACATGTAAGGGAAGAGGGTGGAAAAATCGAAGCAGAGAGCCTGGATTCCCCCTTGGATCAAACCAACCCTCACTGCTGCCCTGTCCCTGGTGGTGTCCCCACAACTTGGGCTGAGGGGGCTGATAGAGGATTTGGGAGTCTCCCACCTTTCTCTTCCTCTTTTCCCCAGTCTCCGAGCTCGGTGCATCTACAACTCCAGCGACCTCCTTCCCTTGGGAGTGGAGGTGGCCGTGCCCCCCACAGCCGCCCCCCTGGCCATGCTGGGCCCGCTGGGGCTCCAGCTGCGGATTGCCACTGGTGAGTGCTCCCTATCCCGCTCCCCATCCCGCTCCCCATCCCACTCAAACCCTCCCAACATTCCCACAGACGAATCCTACAGCTCCTACCACGCTGTGGGTGACTTCCCCCTGGTGAGGGTGCTCCGGGACCCCATTTACGTGGAAGTCCGGCTGCTCCAGAAGACGGATCCCAATTTGGTGCTGGTGCTGCACCACTGCTGGGCCTCCCCTGGCTCCCATGCCACATCCCAGCCCCAGTGGCCCATCCTGGTGGAAGGGTGAGTGGAAAAGGATGGGAAGATGGAAGTGAGGGGGTCACTGTGCTGACACAGTGTCCTTGCTTCCCACCCAGGTGTCCCTTCCAAGGGGACAACTACAGGACACGGCTGATTCCGATGGGTCCGGTCTCTCCGGAGCTGCCCTTCCCGAGCCACTACCAGCGCTTTGTCATCTCCACCTTCGCCTTTGTGGAGCCCCCTGGAATGACTGTGCTGGAGGGGGAGGTGAGGGGGATTCCCTTGAATCCCTGTTGGGAATGCCTCAGTGTTGGGAATCTCTCATCCCAACATCCCCAAACCCACCCCAGCACTGACCCTGCTTCCAGCTGCCCACAGTCTCTTCCTGTTGGGAAGCTCACGCTGCTTTTGGGGGGTTCCTCAAGGCTTGGGGACAATTTTTGGGGGTCTCTTCAGGCTTGGGGACTCTTTTTGGGGATGCCCAGGTGACACTGGCATTCCTGTGGCTCCCAGGTGTACATCTCCTGCAGTGCCTCCGTGTGCCACCTGGCCCAGCCGGAGCCCTGCCGGCCCTCCTGCCAGCTGGGAGTGCCCTCACGTGAGTCTGGGAGCCTCCAGGCTTTTGGGAAGACCTCTACATGTTCCCCTCTTCCCAAGCCAACCTGCTGATCCCCACAGGAGCACGGAGGTCTCCAGGGAACAGGAGGACAGGTGACAGCATGGGGACAGTCACATCCCAGGGATGCCTTGTGTTTCCTGAGGTTCCCAAGAGAGGGGGAACTCAGCAGAGAGGCTGAGGAGTGAGTGCCTTCTGCTCCCCAAAAACCCCTTCATCCCAAACACCCCTTCACCCCTCTAAGTTATCTACTCCCCCTCTTCCTCCTCACAGCCTCTACCTGGATGCTGATGGATGTCTCTGGGAAGGCTGGATAAATAAAACCAGTGCAAAACACGGCTCTAAGGGTGGTTTGTCCTTGAGAGGGGAGTAAAGAGGATCCTTCATCCCCATTCCCAAGCTGGCAGCAGCCACAGACCCCCAAATCCCACCCTGCTACACCACCACCCTTCACAGGAGCCTTTTCCAGCTGGGATGACAGGGAATAATTCTTTATTTCCATACTGAAACTAAGTAACTGCTTACAAAACTGCACAGTCTTCTCTTCCCTCCCTCCTTCCACACATCCCGACCTCAAACTTCCACCAGCAACGGGATTAGGGTTTTTTGTCAAACCAGTTACACAAAACAATCTAAAGGCGGAAAACACACAGCATTGGGAAAAAAACTAAACAATAAATTCATGGAGCACGGGGAAGGCAATGTCTGACTTCCCTTACACCAACAGCTACAACAGGGGAGCTTGATAATCCCACCTGGATAATCCCACATGGATATTCCCACCCACCTCCCACCCTGAATCCCAAAAAATCCCAGCCCCACTTCCAGGGCTACAGGCTGTAGAACTTGAGGCTCCGATCCATGCCTGTGGAAGCGATGAACTTGGCATGGTGGCCAAAGGCCACTCCTGTGGTCAGACCACTGTGCTCTGGGGACAGAAAACAATCCATGGTCACAATTCCGACTGGATTTGTCCCATTCCTGCCCCAGCCACTTCCGTGATTCCCAGACTCCCTCACCTGTGAAGTGGAGGATCTCCGTCCACTGCTTGCAGATGTAGATCTGGACATCGGTCCCGCCCAGCGCCAGATAGGTCCCGCTCTGATCGAAAATCAGGGATTTCACCTGTGGAGAAGAATCACAACAAGGTGTTGAAAAAGCTCCAAATGGCTTTTCTGGGATGCCACAACCCCTGGAGCAGAGAGGCCTTGGGGGAAAAGGGACACCACACACCTCGAAGTTGTTATCCAGCTGCAACGTCTTGAAGTTCTTGAGCTTCCTCAAATCCCAGAGCTTGACCGAGGAGTCGTCGGCTGCCGTGGCCAGGTAGTATCCGTTCTCGGAAAAGGCGATGCTGGTGATGGGGCCGGAGTGTCCCGGGAAGTTGGCCACGTTGGTGCGTTCCTGGGGACAAGGCGGTCAGAGGGAATCACAGCGCTGGCATGCGGCATCGTTCCCAACCGACCTGCGCGGTCACGGTGTCACCGGCGGCTGCTCTGCAGCTGGGATCTTGGGATTTTTGGAGAAACCTCCAAAAACATTCCTCAAAGTCCTGCTCCTTGGACTGATCCCCAAACTAAGCTCAGAACACCTCCAAATCCCTGTTCCCACACATTCCCATCAGCCCTTACCTTCAGATCCCAGATCTTGATTTGGGAATCCATTGTTCCTGTCCCAAAAATGAGCCCATCCGGGTGGAACTGGGCACAGGTGAGAGCTGTGGAGACAGCAGGAGAATCAGACACTTGGAAAGACTCCCAAGAGGGCTGGGAAGACTCTCAAGAGGGTTGGGAAGATTGGGAAGACTCAAGAAGGTTGGCGAGACTCAGAGGGTTGGGAAGACACACAGAGTTGGGAATATTTTGAAAGCTGGGAACACTTAAGAAGGTTGATGAGATTGGAAGGGTTGGGAAGACTCAGGAAGGTTGGCAAGGCTACCAAGATCCCTCCAAAGGAGCTCCCATGAACTCCAGGAGCCAAGGGATGCCCAGAGTGGGGAAAATCAACTCCAAAGCTTACCACATCCAGAGCTCTCATCCGTCACCTTGGTGAGGACACGGCCCGTCTGGATATCCGAGAAAGCCCAGTACTGGAAGAGAGGAAGAGTGTTGGAACGGGAGGCGTGGGAAGCAAAGGTGGGAGCTGTGGGATGGGGAGGGATTCACCTGGTCATCCGAGGAGCTGAGCAGGTAATCACCCGTGGCGTGGAGGCTGAGCCCGGTCACGGAGCCCTCGTGGGCACGGACCACCTGGACACAGGAGGCGTTGGGAACGGACCAGATCCGGATTGTGGCGTCGGGAGAAGCTGAGAAGACCAAGTCCTACGGAAGGACAACACCAGAAGGTTCACATGGGAAGAACTCACCTCTGTGAGAGCTCCCAACAGGAGATTCCACCAGAGGAGGATCCTGATATCCACACTTGAGGCATGCTGGAAGCGAGGAAAGAGGCAGGCGTACCTGGGACGGGTGGAAGACGACGCTGGTGACTTTCTTGGTGTGGCCCTTGAGCGTGGCCAGGATCTGCTCCGAGCTCTTGTCGAACACGATGACGTTTTTGTCGGCTCCACCTGGAAAACCGAGCAGGAAGCGCTGGGATGGGAGTGTGGGGCCAACCAACTCCAAATGCACCTGCCTGATGTCCCTTCTTCAAATTCCCAAAAACACAGAGATCCACTCCCAGGTGGGAAATCCCCAGGAAAGCTCCCTTACCAGTGAGGATCTTGTTGGTGTCGGAAGGACACAGATCCAAGGCAAGAATTCCTGGGATGCTGGCGCTGTGCAGCCCCTGTGTGAGGGAGGAGAACCCCAAGTTAATGCCACAAGGAGCAAAACCCTCCCAAAAGGAATCAAAAAGCGATTCCCAGCTCCATGTGGGAGTTTCCCAGTCCTTTCCCAGCCTGGCACTCACCACATGTGAGGCCACCTGCCGGTACTTGCTGAGCTCCTCTGGCTTCACCAGCTCCTCCGGGACCGTCTTGCCCCTCTGGAAAAAACAGGGATAAACATCAGCCTTGGCTGGAGCACAGCACATTCCAGCTCCCTCCAAATCCTTGGATAAGGCCACTCACCTTCTTACGCTCCGTGGTCAGCACCGTCGCCTTGTCTTGGAGCTGGAAAACAAGAGGAGGGTGGGCACAGACCGGGAATTCTGCGATGGGGAGACGGAGAGGGGAACACATGGAACACTGGCCCTACCTTCTGGATGATCTCCGGGGTCATTCCCGCCAGCTCTCCCAGATCCATGGCCTCGCCGGCGCCCTGTGTGGCACAGAGAGAAGGATCATGCAGAGAGGGAATTTGGGAGCCAAGAGTGGGGAAAGGGTTGGGAATGAGCGGGAAAAGGGCCGGGATGGGGAGCAGGACTCACGGCCACGTTGGGCTGCGCTGACGGCACCGCCTGGGGCACGATGAGCCCGGCCTGAGGCTTCAGCGTGGCCAGAGCTGCGGAAACACAACGGGTTTAAAGGAAAACCGGGATAAAGCACTTCCCAGCGCCCCTTCCCGGGAACGCCACGCGTCTGCGTCACCTTCTCTGGCGGCGGTGACCTCCTTGGTGAGGCGGGCGATGACCCTGCAGGCGGCATCGTGCTGGTACAGGGCGTGGGACAGCTCCTGGCGCGTGGTCTGCAGCTGCTGCCGCAGCGTGAAGCTGTGCAGCATCACGGCATCCTGCCGGGAAGCGCCCCAGTCAGCCCGGGAACGGCGGGATGCCAGCCCCGGCAGCCCCCCCGGCACTCACCCACTCGTCCTGCAGGGCTTTCAGGATGGCCGGGATGCTGGTGGCCGAGGGGGGTTTGGGCCGGATCGGGTGGGCGACTGGAAGGAAGATGGACGCGTCATCCGTGTCCCCGATATCCCCATGGATCGCCACACCCCCATCCCTTGCCTTTCCCGTTTCACCATCCCTGCTTTACCCCTCTCCTTCCCAGCCTCCACTGCTGAGTTTGGCACCTCAGCCCCAGCTCAGCAAACCCCAAAACACCTCGGGCACCGCCATTCCCGACCCCCGAGCCGCTTTTCCTGGGAGAACCGCTGTTCCCGGGAGAGCCTTTCCCATGCCGTTCCCGGTCCCGGCACCTTTGATGTCGATGAGCTGCTCCTCGGACAGCGGCTGGTTGTTGACAGGGTCGGTGCCGTTCTCCGCGATGTATTTCTCGATCAGCCGCCGCTCGTACACGTGGTTGGACACCGGCGACACACACGGGTGCTCCGGGACCTCGTTGGAAACTGCGGGGGTCAGGGAAGGACAGGATGGGACGGGAACGTGGGTTTGGGAACCCCCTGCCCGGTGATCCCCCGGTGACCCCGGCTGTCCCCGCCCCGCAGCTCGGGATCCCCCATTCGGTAACGCTCCCCCCCCGCACTCCCGCGGCCGCGCTCTCTCCGCACTCACTGGAGCAGATGAGCGCCATGGCGGAGGCCGGGGGGTCGCGGCGCTCCGGTTACGGCCCCGCTGCCCTTCCGAGGCTGTTTCCGGTTCTCCTTTCCGGTCCGGGGTCCCGGTTCCGGTTCCGGTTGGCGCGCGCGGCCCCCGCGCCGCTCCCGAGCGCTCACGCGGGCGCCGCCGCCGACGGAACCGGAAGCGCTCCCGGCATCCCCCGCGCTCCCCCCGCCGGCGGGAACCGCGCTTCCCGGCGTGCACCGCGCGCCGCCGCCCGCCTCCGGCTGTTGCCATGGTGACCGCGCTCCCGGCATGCGCGGCGGCCGTCCCCGGGACTACAGCTCCCGGCGTGCCCCGCGGCAGAGGGGCGATCGGGGGTTCCAGGGGAATGGGGGGAACTGGGCGGGGCTGGGCACAGTGGGACTGAGGAGATCCCGGGGGGATTGGGGAGAAGTGGGGAGCACGGGGGGTCTCGGGTGTGGCAGTGTCCCATCCTGGAGCGCCCCGCTCCCTCCTTTGGGAAGGGGTGCCCCCCCTTCCCAGCCAGGCCCGGTGCCCTTGGCTGTGTCCCGCTGACTCTTGTCGATCCCAAAAATAGCCGGGACACCCAGGCCTGTGCTGGGGGGGGGCATGGAACTGGGCTGTGGGGCCTTCAGCCTCCCCTGCTGCTTGGGGGACCCCAAAACCAGCAAGTGAACCCTAAAAGCAGCAGGGTTTCCCCCTCCCAGCACCCCCACATCTCTGTCCCCACAGATCCCAGGTTCCAGGATGGGGAGTGCTGTGGGGCACCGGGCCCTG